GACGGGCCTGCCAGGGCAACTGCCCAACGAGTCCCTTGCCGCCTACAAGCAGCGTTTCCACGCTCAGATTGAGGCTGAGGAACAACGCCTGCTGGCAGCCGAGGCTGCCCGTGTACAGGCTGAAGAGGCAGCAGAAGCAGAACAGCTGCGGCTACAGGCCGATGCAGACGCAGATGCCCAGGCTCGCCGCAAGGAACCCCAGGATCTGCTGCAGCGGCATGAAGCCAACAGCATCGACAGACTCAAGTACTGRCATTTTGAACCGAACGGCGACGAGGCAACACCGGAAGAGAAGCACAAGGAGTTCCTCTCCAAACTCGTGACRCGGTTGTTGTATGCTTGCAACTACCAACRGTCAGAGTTGGAGAGACAGTACCRGGACCTGAYGCAACARCATCAGGAGTTGGCRMMGCTCCRCCGCAYRGTGCAGRGCCACGAGGATGCAACTCGGGCACTCAATGCCCGATTGTTGGACCTGGAACAGGCTGTACCAGGACCAGCTGCTGGGGCTTCCAGCASTGCACCCTCTAGCCGCMAACTRGAGGACYGCGTTGACCACGTAGTGGSAATGCTCGGCGACATCAGCACTTTCGCTGCGCCGACCACCACCATCAGCAGTCAGYTGCAKACATTGAAGACCGAGGTCCAGCAGCTACAGACGACGAACGCAAATGGCAATCCGAAGATGTATAAGATGCCAACGTTCACTCTGGAGAGGTTCAACGACTACAYGCAGYAGGATCCGGTCCTCTGGTGGGAAGCATTCACAACGCAACTCAGGATTCTGCMCGTAGACAAGCATGCGTACATCGRCGCCCTGTTCCTRAAYTCAAAGGGCGGATGCCAGACCTGGTTGACCCACCTGGCAACCTCCCACGRCGTCGACGTACCAGACTTGAAGGACGTAATCACATGGGAGGAACTGACAYGGYTGTGGAAGAAGCGGTTCATCGTCGACGACGYGCCARCWYTCGCCATYAAYCGAYTGTTCACCATGTCACAGGGYAACACAGCAACACGGGAYTGGCTCACGGAGTGGCRGAAGATTGCGGYTGTGCCCAATCTGAAYTTACCATTCGAGCATCTACGCCGTGAGTTCTACAACAGGTCCTGTGCTGCATTGAGCCAGGCTCTTGGTGATCGCGAGCAGTACTCAACCTTCGCGGAGATCATTGACAAAGCGAGGGAGATCATCAAGACCAACAGGTCAGCTGCACACGAGAAATCAACATCATGGCAGCCGACCTATGTGGAGAAGGTACGAACTGGTCCGCGACAGCAGCACTTCGCTGCAGTCCAGCAGGATAGGGGAGATAACCCAGCAGCCACTCCAGCATCAAGTGACGGAGATCAGGTGGATGCTGTCCAGCCGCGGAGCACCAACAAGGCCCGCAACAATGGGAAGGCGAAATCCGCATCGCAGGCCGGAAATGGACAACCAGGACAGTTTCCATGGGTCAAGTTTGGCTTGACCGAGGCAGAGTACAAGGTCTGTGGCCGCTACGGCAGTTGCTATTGGTGCAACAGCACCAAGCACAAGACCTCCCTGTGCCAAGATCAGGGCAAGGAGGATGTGCGACCCCGCCTCAGCTCGGGAAACTGAGCTCCGCGGAAGGTGAGGCGACTCCACCTTCTGCTCCGCCAGATTCGGCCGCCTTGCTAGCGGCCTCCTGCACATCTGGGGAGGATGCAAATGTCGCAAGTCCTCGGTACACTTACGAGGACTATGCTGTCCACTTGGTTCCACCGCTGGACCAATCGCTCCACGCGCAACAGTCCACCGCATGCACGGTTTCATCACCATCGGCAACCGATTCGGCAGCTTCGCCGCAATCTATCGCCGGGGATTCGATGTCATGGTCAAGACTTGAAGAGCTCGACCCATTGACGTTCACGGATTTCCAGTGGATGCCCATTCCCTCGACCGGACGATTGCCGAAACCGCATTGCAACGTGCTTATGGCACAATTGCGGGACTACTTGCACACTGTAGTACCAGCTCCGTTGATGGACGCCGGAGGAGAGGTTGTCGACCTTCTCGCGTACATCGCAAAGATTGACCGCGAGTTCAAGACGCAACCGTACGACGACATCGACGCACCATTGCTATACATACGCATTCAGATCGGAGAGGCGACCTGCAGTGCCTTGATCGATTGCGAAGCAACTTGCAACTACATCAGCCAGGACTTCATGGTATGTGCCCGCCTTGGCCCACGTGTCCGAAGGAAGTCCCAGCCTATGCAAGTCACGTTGGCAGACGGTCATACGCACAAGTCAATTGACCGGTGCATTGACGCGTCCCCGTGTACTTTGCTCCTCACGCAAGTGAGGCGGTGTCCTTTGATATTCTGGACACCAAATTTGACATGATCTTGGGCATGTCATGGCTGCGAAGCGAGGATCACCCGGTGAACTTCTTCAAACGCACCGTTCACATTCGTGATCGGAACGGAGTATTAGTTCCATGCACGGTGCCCCTTCCTCATCCTTCGATCAGCTGCCACGTGGTATCCGCCGCAAGCATGCGAGCTTCCATCATCAGAGACGACATCGAGGAGATGGGGGTGTGTTTTCTCCACGTCCTCCCGCCCCATGACGCTTCATCGACGGACTCACCTTCGGATCCACGCATCACCGAACTTCTCGACGCCTACAGCGACGTGTTCGAAGGCCCGCACGGAGTAGTACCGGATCGACCCATCCGCCACGAGATCATTCTCGAGGACGGGGCGGTACCTCTGCGCGGTTGCATCTACCGAACGAGCGAGGAAGAGTTAAGTGTGCTTCGGGCACAACATGACGACCTTCTGGAGAAAGGTTGCATTCGGCCTAGCTCATCGCCATACGGTGCTCCTGTTCTCTTCGTCCGGAAGAAGAACAAGAATCTGCGGTTGTGCATCGATTATCGCAAGCTCAACGCGCAGACGATCAGGAACGCCGACCCTCTCCCACGCATCGACGACCTTCTCGAGCGATTGGGCGGCGCCCAGTTCTTCTCTAAGCTGGATCTCAAGTCAGGGTACCACCAACTCGAGATTCGCAAGGAGGATCGCTACAAGACCGCGTTCAAGACACGGTATGGGCATTTCGAATGGTTGGTCATGCCATTTGGCCTTACGAATGCCCCAACCACTTTCCAAGCGGCTATGACAACGAAGTTTCGACACATGCTGGATCGTTTCGTACTTATCTACCTCGACGACATTGTGGTTTACAGCCGGAGTCTGAACGAGCATGTGGAACACCTGCGCACCGTTTTGGAGCGGCTCCGACAGGCCAAGTACAAAGCAAACCGCGACAAGTGCGAGTTCGCACAATAGGAGTTGGAGTACTTGGGCCATTATGTGACGCCGCAAGGCATCCGTCCGTTCGCAGACAAGATCGAGGCCCTACGAGTATGGCCCGAGCCCACCAACACCATGGGCGTTCATTCATTCATGGGGTTGGCGGGCTACTATCAGCGATTCATCACCGGATACTCCAGGATTGCTGCACCTATGACAAGGTTACAGTCACCAAAGGTGCCATTCGTATTCGATGACGATGCACGCCGCTCATTCCAAGCACTTAAGATGACTATGCTCATGGCACCCGTCCTTAGCATCTATGACCCCACCCTGCCGACGCGAGTGACTACGGACGCTTCCGGCCATGGCATTGGGGCAGTCTTGGAACAACACGACAGCGACGACTGGCACCCTGTGGAGTATTTCAGCCACAAAGTGCCTCCCATCAACTCGCTTGATGATGCAAGGAAGAAGGAGCTGCTCGCATTCGTGATGGCTCTCAAGCGCTGACGGCACTTCCTCCTTGGGCGTCGTAGGTTCACATGGGTCACAGACAACAATCCATTGACCTACTACAAGACGCAGGACACGGTGAGCAGCACGATCGGACGATGGATGTACTTCATTGACCAATTTGACTTCACACCGAAACATGTCCCCGGCCTCTCCAATCGCGCAGCAGATGCACTCTCGCGAAGACCTGATCTTTGCG